CTCTCTCTCTCTCTCTCTCTCTCTCTCTCTCTCTCTCTCTCTCTCTCTCTCTCTCGTTTTTCCTCAACTACTTACGTTTGTTATGCAATACTGCACATGACTATCATCAAATATTCTTTTTTCTAATCTCGATTTGATCATTTTCTCTAAGTTTCTCTATTTTGAAGTTCGCTTTTTATCATATTTTTCTTTATATATATATATATATATATATTATTCTTGTTTTTCTTCTCTTTTTAACATTTATATCTTTATGCTTTATTTTTTCTTAATTATTAGTTTATTTTTATACATATTTTTTCCACTTTGCTTTTATAATTGTAAGATTGTTCTTAGAGGACTTGCCCTAGAACACCAATAAATGTACTCTCTCTCTCTCTCTCTCTCTCTCTCTCTCTCTCTCTCTCTCTCTCTCTCTCTACTTATCTATCTATCTATCTCTCTCGAATTTCGCATACCGCTATAGAATTACTGATGTGCGTGAGAGTTAATCTCCTTAATTAAAAGCCTTTGTCTCAACAAAATGAAACCGAGAGCGAATTTTCGACGTTCCCTTACCATTCCTGCGTAGCACAATGGGAAACGACACGTATGTGACGATCCAACTGCGTGGAACTCGCGATAGAAAGGCTGCTGACCGCGCGTCCGATTTCTATTGCGTGAGTAAGTGAACGCACGCGTGCGTGCGTGCGTGCGTGCGTGCGTGAATGCGTGCGCATGCATCGAGTACACGCAACAAATGGCAATGACATATAAATAGAACGTCGCGCTCCGGCGAGTCGCCGCTCGTGATTAATTACTTTTCTCAGCATTTACTCGGCTTTGTCACGTATAGATACGTACGTATACTTGCGAACGAAATAAATGCGACTATTGACGAGATGATCGAGCTTTCAGCTTGCCATTAGACGCGCGCGAGAGTCATGAATCTCTCCATTCTCGTCCCGAAATATATGTACCACGGATTACGACGGACATTCCCGGGTGACCGTTTCCGGTGTCGGAATTCATCGGTCGAAGGCTCGCGATCGCGAGCTTGTGGCAAGACCGACGGGCGACAATTCTGGATTCTGGAATAGCGCGAAGTGTCGTCATTGATAGATTGACGGTAATCGATCGTTTCCCGAATTCGGCTAGTACTTTAGCGCGAGTGAAGCCGCAAGAATACAATGTGTCAGTATATAATTGTACGGACCGTTTATTTTAATAAAGCGACGGTAGTCTTCGGTCGCGGAAAACGTGACGAGACTTCCGCGACGACGATTCGTATCTGCACTCGTTGAAATTCGCAATGCTTTCACGGCTGCTCCCCGTCAAACAATTCGCGCCGTACAAATTTGTTCTCCAGCGAGAAGGAAGCGCAAACAGATCCCGTCGACTGAGGACGAGACGACAATCCGCATCTCTGAGCATTATGTTGTAAAATAAAAAAATAAAAGAGAATGTAAAATGTATGGTGAATAACGCCATACCGCTTGTCAGTGTCGTTAGCTAGCATGACACGAGGAAACGTAACAATTTCTACGAGTAATAATAAGACATTCCCGTGCAAAGTCAAGTAGAGCCTGCGTGAGCTTCGCAAACTTCTTTTTTCTTCCGCCTCCTTTTGGAATCCAGTCTGACTGCTACTTCTATTTCTACGTTTCTTTTTCCTCTTCAAAGGAAGAGGAAAAAAAATAATCCAACGGATATTAAATCTCCCGTCTTTTCCAAATCACACCGTGTGTTATCCAGTGATCGCGCTGTATGTGTTTGTGTGTGTGCATGCCAGCATGCAGTTACCCAACGATCAACCATAGGCAAGCAAAAACAATAACGACAAAGCGAAATTACCTTCTAGCAGAATATTTCAGGTTTATATTGCCCCATTAAGTCCAAGCTTTCCTCCTGGAGAACAAAAATATAAACGATGAGAGATGGGGATTTGACACAAACGTTTCGGTGCGACGACGAGCGATATTTCGCGGGGAACTTTCGATTTGACACGCGAATCAGTCAGTTAGACCGATAATACTTACGCTACATGCAACACATTCGCTTCCGTCATTAATTCTTATCTCATTTTGAACCTCGCCTGGGATAAGCTCACCGAGTAATTTTTAGAGAGAACAATTGTTTTTTCCTGGGAGATCCGAGTTTGAATCCCGGTTGAGGTAATGTTTTCTTTTCGCAATAAATTATTTATAATTCTTAACATGCTTAGATTAACATCAAATTATTAATATTCTTCTAAGACGCTTATTAACATCAAAATTATTAAATTGCTTGTCAATTTAATATGTGATATTACTACTCTAATCCCGTATAATTGTGTTTCAAATCTGAAAAAGATTTTGGCGAGCGGTTTTGCAAATTTGAATACATATATAATTTTTCCATCGAAATATTTAAATATTAAGATCCGTTTTGACTGAATATAGGATTTCTCTTATTCAATTTGATTTCTTTCCATACCAACAAGATGGATAATCCGCGTTGTCTTGCATAAGCTTATTATCCGTGGGTTTATGCCGTGTGACTCACGCGTGTCAGCTTTAGCTATGGCAAGCGGTTATGCGAATCGTAATGAAC